TTCACTTAGTATCTTTTCAATTAATATATAGAAGATATAACTTTTACGTGAATTATCCGAAAATTTCACAAAGAAGATGACATAAGTGGTACCGTTTACATACCAAGAATTTTGTTTTGTGTGATTTTATAAGAGCCAACCTTTCGATTATATTGCTTGATCGTAGTGACACTGTTTTTGTTGTCCTATAACCACGATATAATATTGTTTGTTAGCATGAATGAAAAATCAATATGGACTGTATTTTTTTTTGTTCTCAGTTGATTTGTAGACATGTGTTATTGTGTAGATAGTGAAACGGTGGTAGTTTTTAGATTAGGGTTGCCGTAAATAGATATTGAAAAGATAATAATCAGAATTGATTTTTCTTTAATTCGAAATATACGGTCACGTTAATGATGATTTCGTTTACGATAACTAATGATGTCGCTTGTCACATTAATTTTTTGTTTTTTGTTTTGTCACATTTCGTTTGATGGGTTAAGATATAGTTGGATTTTTCTAATTATTTGCATAATAGTCAATATCATTAAAAAAAAATTAATAGATATCATTAAAAGTTACTTAAAATATATCCTCTTTGAATAATACCTAAAAGTTTTCACCTCTATTAATATAGAGAGGATTAGTTAGAGGAAAATATAAAGTAGTGGTAGATCGTATTTGTATTAATATCAAATATCCATAATTTCTATCGGTAATAAATCAAAATTAAGACAGTGAAACACACATTAATTAATTTAAACTAGAGGCAGTAGCCAATATCACCAGAAGCAAAATCCATCATCACGAGTGAACTCAGCTCGAACTCGTCTTCACTAACCCAAAAAGCATTATTATTGCTATAAAAATGGCTCTGAGGATCATTAGTAGTTGCAAAAACGACGTCGCTTTGTGTTAAATCCAGTTTTGGTTTATTCTCGTAGGAAGCTGATAAGCTCTTGCCTGTAATATTGTTCAGTTGGTGATGACGAGAAGAAGTTGTGGCGGCGTTGATGAACATCGACGGTGGAGAGTCGTCGTCTACGGTGGTTTTGACGACGGAGGAGTAATCTCCGACGAGTTTTTTGCTGAGATGAGTGTTCCAGTAATTCTTGACTTGGTTATCAGTTCTTCCTGGTACTCTTTTAGCTATCAAAGACCATCTGAATTTATTTGCAAAAAATATAATATTATATGATGCAATGAATTTAACTCATGTTGATGTATTGTGACTTGTGAACATAACTAACTATATGTATCTAAATCTTCTTTTTCGACATCTCTAAATAATTGATCAATTCCACTAGTAAGACTAGTAAGTACTACTCACGAACGAACACATCATTTTCGACCAACTTCATCGGCTAGTTCACCAATTCTACAAATTTAATGTTACCAATTTACACTCATGTAGATTGAATGAATTGATAAATTAAAGAAATATGAACACACATATATTATTAATAAGTGATAAGGTTACTTTTTAAAATAGTTGGAGACATATATATTTACCTGTTGCCGAGGAGCTTGTGGAGACGGATGATGAGGTCTTCTTCTTGTTCAGTGAAATTGCCTTTCTTCACATTAGGGCTTAAATAATTCATCCATCTCAGTCTACAACTTTTCCCACACCTCTTTAACCCTAATAATTGATTATACGAAACAATTTAAGTTGAGAGATAATATAATCTAGCT